TGCCCCATACCAGCATGGACGGACTCAAGCACCTGAGTTTTCAAGCAGGCGGGGACTAACAGTTGGAAAGACTCTCCGTGACGCACATCCTCCACTACCCGATACAACAATCCCTCCTTTTCCCTTAGTCGGTTCCACTGCTTCAGCAACGAGCGTACAGATTTTGACAGGGTTTTTACTTCCAAGCCTGCAGGTTTACGTTTCTGGTCCCAAAAGATCTTGAACTCCTTCAGAACTGGATCCTGAGTCTGAAACGAGGCCAACTGCTCCTTAGAATACCCAGGCCAAATAGCAGTACTCCCCTGTGCCTCTGTGCTTGCCAACCCACGTGTTTCCATGGCGCGCATCTGACGGACCTCACACCTCTCCATTCCAGCTTGAATCAATTCAGCGTCAAGAGGTGTCCCACGTTGTGTCAGGCTACAAATAGTCACACAGTCATCATATTCGGCATCTTCCATGTCTACCACAGGCTCCCCTGCCAAGGGCTGCCTAGACAATGCATCTGCAGCTTGATTACACCGACCAGGTCGGTATTGGACATCAAAATCAAATGCTGCTAACTGTGCCACCCATCTCTGTTCCAGGGCTCCTAATTTGGCAGTGTGTAGGTGACATAATGGGTTATTATCTGTGATTACAGTAAATTTGGAACCCAGCAAGTAGCCTCTGAATTTTTCAGTAACTGCCCACTTGAGACTAAGCAGCTCCAACTTCATGCTGCTATAATTTTTGTCATTCCTTTCAGCATTCCGCAACCTTCGGCTCGCATAAGAGATCACTCTTTTCTTTCCCTCTTGCTGCTGCAGAAGAATGGCTCCTAAGCCCTGATTGCTTGCATCAGTCTCAAGGATAAATGGGGCAGAGAAATCAGCAAATCCGAGCACGGGCGCACTCGTTAGTTTTTCCTTCAAAGTATCAAAGGATGCCTGACACTCAGGACTCCACCCATTGATTACCTTTTGGTTAACTTTAGCTGGAGGTCCTTCATTTAGACACTGATTGACCAAGTCATGTAGCGGCCCAGCGATTTTTGAGAAGCCCGGGACAAATCTTCTATAATACCCGCAGAAACCGAGGAATGACCTCAGAGCTTTCAGAGTGGTGGGTACTGCCCACTGCTTCACAGCAGAGATCTTGTTAGGGTCAGTGGCTATACCCTCAGCAGATATCTGATGTCCCAAGAACGTCACTGTTGACTGTAGAAAGTGGCATTTCCCTACTTTGACTTTGAGTCCGGTCTCCTGCAGCCTTAACAACACAGTCCGCAACCTCTCCAAATGCTCAGGAAACGTTTTTGAGAACACCAAGATGTCATCCAAATATACCAGCATAATCTGAAAGATGAGATCATTCATGGTGGTTTGCATTAATCTTTGGAAAGTGGCAGGCCCATTGCACACCCCCATCGGCATTCTCAGATGTTCGTACAGCCCAAATGGTGTGGTAAAAGCTGTCTTAGGCCGATCCTTCTCTGCCACAGCTACCTGGTGATAGCCACTGGCCAGGTCGATGCTTGAGAAAAACTGGGCACCTCGTAACACATCAAAACTCTCATCCACTCTTGGCAGTGGAAAAGCGTCCCGTTTGGTTTTCAGATTTAGTTTGCGGTAGTCCACGCACAACCTAATACTGCCGTCGGTTTTTCTCACCAGCACCACTGGAGACGCATAGGCGCTTGAACTCTCCTGAATAACACCCTTTCTTAATAGCTGCGCTATGTGTTCCTTGACCTCTTTGTACTGGTTTGGTGGAACTCTGCGATATGGCAGGTTAATCGGTACATCATCCACCAGGTTAATCTCATGTTGTACTCTGTCTGTAAATCCCAGCTCCTCGTCCCCTATGGCAAACACATCAGCAAATTCGGTGAGTAAAGCTTTCAACTCGGCTTGCTGCTCCAAAGTACCTCCAATGTCCAGCTGGGAGATCACTTTAGACCACTGCTCTTGCCTTGATGGTGATTTGGCCCCCATAGAGATCTCTTCTGCATTCACAGAAATACGTTGGAATGTTACCTCGTGTCCTGGGTTATTATCCACCACCTTCACTTTAGACAGAACACCGATGCGAGTCCTAGGGTGCAACCACACATCTTCATTGGACAGGTTAAGAACTTGGACTGAGCTCTCGTGATTGTAGGAGCTTACCACAGTCGGCATAACCAGCACACCTCCTGGCAAAGCTAAGTGTGCTGGCTCTAACAGCCACTGGCTCTCATCTTTCACATTCACCGACCACCCTTTTGCCATTACTGTTGATATGGAGCCCGCTGGGACATGCACCATACGTCTCCCTGCTACCCGGGCCACACGACTCTTAGGAACATCACAGGTCTGTGCGTGCTGGAACGCGTTCCTCCAATCAGTCTCTAACCTCCCTTCAAATGGAGCCTCAAATTCAGATTGCACTATTTGCCGGCACTTACTAATGATGTTCATCCCCACAATACAGGAAACAGCTTTTGAGGAGGGCGGAGGATCCTTTACTACTAAGAAGCCGCAATTTGGAATTTTCCTCCCCATCGTCTCTACCTCTAACTCGAGATATCCCAAGTACGGGATGTCCAGCCCGTTTGCTGCAGTCAGCTTGAGCCATCCAGCAGTTGAAAGCATGTCTTCATCATCACCCCCCAAATGTTGTCGAAAGAAACTTTCAGATATCGTACTCACTTGGCTGCCTGTGTCCAGGAGACAGGATACTTCTACGCCCAGAACCTTAATATCCACTTGAGGACATGTCCCCACTGCCCGCTTCAACAGTTCTTCTTGACTTGAGTCTACAGGTTGGCCCTGGATTGCTCGACTCACAGCAACCCGGGCGTCACATTTCCCGACTCAATGGAACGGGATGCAGGTCTCTTAGCGTTTCGTTTCTGGGGACAATTTCTCGCAATATGCCCGGCTTCTTGACATTTCAGGCATATGGGCTTACCATCTTCAGTGAATCGTAACTGGGCTCGAGTGTTATTCCGTAGGCCCCCAGCCCCCTGTTGTTGTGTCATCAAGTTATTAACTGCCTGGGTTAGCTCAAGGATCTGCCTGCCCTGTTGAGTTACTACATCCATTACTTTGGATAAAGTAACTGGGTTTTGGCCCGTGGCTTTTACTTCTGCACAGTGTGCACTCTCACTGTAGGAGCCATATGTAGCACTTCGACTTTTAGGGGTCCGAACCCTCCCAGACTGCTCCTCCCAGCCCCATAGATAAGCTTCCTCCCTCACTTCCACCATAGAAGACTCAGGCTTGTCTCTTACATACCGCCGAAGTTCCCGTCTGAGGGTATGGTCTCGGATGCCCTCTACAAACTGGTCTCTTAACATCGTCTTTTCATCTCCCACAGCCTCTGGTGCACGCTTAGTAATTTGACTGAGAGCTTGAGCTAGTGCATGAGAGAAATCACGAACATCCTCCCCCTCTTTCTGCTTACGACTATAAAAGTCCTGGAGGAGTTGGGCACTGCTGCGCCTATCAGTAAAAGCCTCTCTAAGGTAAGTAAGTATATCCGTGGATATATCGGTGTCTACATTGCTTCGCAATCGAACCTCTTCTAATGCAGCACCTCGCAGCAAAGACATAACAAAATCACACTCATCATTTGGTGTCATGTTTCTGGCTCTTAAAGCACGCTCAACCTCATCTATAAACTCATCTACTGTTCTCCCATCTTTTTCAATGTCCCCTGTGAATGGGCTGATGTGACGTTCTCGGGGTACATACACAAAAGTCTTATTACACCCCCCTTTTAAAGACTCAAGTGTGGCCATTGCTTCATCGTGCTTTTGACTCAGTTCTCTTAACTTCAGGCGAATGTCGTCCTCTTCCCCCTCCGAATAGTCAGACATGTTGCAAGTCAAAGTCTTGAGTGTGGCAACTGAAAGGGACAATCCGTGCCTACTTCAGATAGGGAACGCACTTCACCACTCCGTCGGCTCTGTCACGTCCTGGCCCAAACCAACGACCGTCTCTATTCTGCGTCGAACACTCCGTCCAGTGACCGCAAACTCCTTCCACGCCAGAGGCTTCTCTTCACCACTACCGTGTTTGCTCACCCGTGTGCCACTAACATTTAACTGACACTGGCAATATAGATTTATAAAAGGACCCCACTCCTGGTACCAAATTTTGTTGCCAGTTAACAAAACAAATCAATTGACACTGAACCACGTTTTACAATTTGTTTTATTTTTCCTCTATTAAATCAATCAATTGTTTAAATGCTCTTTAAGATCTTCAATGCTTTAAACTGAGTAGTTCAACAAGTCACAGGTGATAATTTATCACTCAACCACACTACTCAAATTCCCCACACGGGGTCACTGTAATGCTTTAACCAAATAGACTATAAACTCAAAATGAATAATTAACAAAAAAATATCTTAACAGATAATTTAGTAAAGTGTCAATTTCTCAATGTCAAATATTTACGAATGTTAGGGCACACTTTCAGTGTGAAACAATACACTTTCAAAGCAAACACAAACACGGTAGTGGCACCCTACACAAACACAAAACCCCTGTTAGCATTTTCATCATGTGCTTTCAAACACCATGTCACAAGAATCAAATATAACATGCACATGATATTATACACGTTATTCACATTTCTTATGCACTTTACATTGCAAATTGACTTACCGAACTCTTTTATAGAGATTTCAAAATGCAGTCACGTGCGATCAAACATCTTCGATCATCTCGAACTATCCGCAAAATACACATGCACAAGATGAAACAAACACATCCTATGACACTAGATTAAATGATTATCATCACATTTACTCACATAGAGCATCAATTAAATCAAGGATGATACTCAACACTCGCTGGATTAATCTCATGCACTGCTGTTTGCCGTTTCTCTCTGCATTGCGCGCTATTAACACGTCATCATCAGGGGCTCGATTTTCTTAAAGGGGAAGTACTTTTTTACAAGTTCAAACACCACCCGGCTACACATTGAAGGCCAATTCTGGCAGGCCAAGTAGTCAAGATGCTGCTAACGCTATCGGCCGTCAACACGGTCTGCATCTGCTGTTGTTCTCCCCTCGCTGCTAATGCCTATGCTCAAATCAGGGCACCCTATTTAAGCAGATTCAGTTTGCTATAACTGCTCACTGCTTGCTGCTCGCCCTCTGCAGTATTGAAACAGGACTTATTGTATTCACTCTCCATTCATCTTTGAAGTTGTCACAAAGCTAAGCTAAGTTTATTTTTAATGCTCACTGTTAAAAAGTTATTGGGATATGGGCACCTTGCTGTTACCAATGCTGTGTGCTTGGACTTATCTCGTTTTCATTTTAAATGCTCTTGCGATCATTTTGGCAATGTGTGTTACTTATCTGTTGTCATTAGCAACTGCTCACGTTGCCTTTAGCATATGCAGTTGTAACGGCGGCCATCTTGTAGTTGCTGTGCAAGTAAACCTCACTCCTCTGATCTCAATAGGCGCTCTAGCGACAGATGCTAGAGGCTGCAGTCTTTAGCCTACTTGTTAGAGCGCCCGACTCTCATGCTGTAGACCTGGGTTCGAAGCCCGCTCGGAGCGGGTCGAGTAGAATCCGGGTGGAGGGGTTACACAGCGATTTAGCACTATGCAGCACAGATCAAGCAGCGTGCAGTTATAGATAGTTAGTAAATAACCATTCATGGTGCAAACTGAAATATTTCTGCTGCGGCACAGCTCTAAAAAGACAATTAAATTAAATTTCTTTCAATTAAAAGAAAGTCTCATCTACTAAATCTTACGTGTCTTTCTTCTGCTTAGTTACATTGATCCTGGATGCGCTTACTGGGTCCTTAATTCATCTTCATTTATTTTTATTACATGAGGTTGCTTTATGGTCTGTTTGGGGGAAATATTTCAGCTCTCCTAGTTCTAATTCATGTCCCCTAAAGCTGCTGCTGTCCCCTGACTCTCTGCTAAATTCATGGTGCTCATGACTGGTCAGGAGACTCATCTGATTTTAAAGGAAAACTTCGGCGAACAATGAACCTTTGGTCTAATAAAACATCGGTACCTAGTCAATCGTTCTCTGAGATTCGTTTTCATGATGATCGAATGTAAAGAGTTTTATCTCTAAAAACTGTTTAGCGTATAATGCTTGCAATGGGGGCATTGACTAAGTAAAAAGAAATCGCTAGTTAATACCAATAACAAGGCTCAAAATAGCCCCACACTAACACAGTAACATAATAAGGCTCCATATACATGCAAAACGAAGCATTGATAACTTTTTAAGTGTACAGACCGTTTAATAAGAAGATACTTTATGAAGACAGAACTTCGTGTACAGACAGGAGCCATCTTGGAAAATAGTCCCTAAGACGATCGCCGAACGCCGTTCATACAGTTCAGAAGTTCGCTGAATTTCACAGGTCAGATCACTCAGCACGCCGTTCGTGGTTTGACTTATCGAGACTATTTTCTAAGATGGCTCCCGTCTGTATACGCGAAGTGAACTGTCTTCATAAATTATCTTCTTAATTAAACGGTCTGTACACTTACAAAGTTTTCAATGCTTCGTTTTGCATGTTATGTTACTGTGTTAGTGTGGGGCTAATTTGAGCCTTGTTAGTGGTATAAACTAGAGATTTCTTTTTCCTTAGTCAATGCCCCCATTGCAAGCATTATACGCTAAATAGTTTTTAGAGATAAAACTCTTTACATTCGATTATCATGAAGACAAATATCAGAGAACGATTGACTAGGTACCGATGTTTTATTAGACCAAAGGTTCATTGTTCACCGGAGTTCTCCTTTAAACAAGTTGCCAACTAATTTGTATTTATTCATAAAGATTCTAAACATTTTAATTGTCTAATTCCATCTCTTGTTTTATTCACAAGAGGTTGCCAGGTATTGTCATTTTGGGGGGAATAGTTCTGCCCTCCCAGTCCAATACTGTGAGCGTTCCCTAATTCTGCTGTTGGACTCCATGAACATGAGCCATGCCACCAAATTTTAATTATCACTTGAATTGCAATGTATTCAATACAGTTTCCTTATCATTTTTATTGTCATATGTGTTCTTAATGGACCTGACTGAAATGGTTTTATCACCACAGAGCTGGGTTATTACTTAATTCGGGAATGAGTCATTCTTCCATAAACCGCCTTCAGACAGTTCAGGATGCTGCTGCCAGAGCTTTGACAGGAGTTCGTAAATGGGAACATATTACTCCTGTCCTTCAGTCACTTGTTGGACTGCTGGTGCATTAAAGGATCAATTTTAAAGTTCTGCTATTAGTTTTCAAGTCTTTAAATGGGTTAGCACCGTCTTACCTTTCCGATCTGCTGACAGTCCATCAACCTGCAAGAGCTCTTAGGTCAGCAAACTTAGGTCTGTTATTAGCTTCTAGATCCATGCTTAAGACTTGGCGACTGAGCATTTTCCATCGCTGCCCAAGACTTTGGAATAATCTACCAACTGAATTTAAAACTGCACTCTGTCCATTTTTAAATGAGAACCATCTAAACTTTTCTCGTCACAGACTCAAATGTAAGGCATAATCGTCCACAACGGCTCCGTTCTCCTTCATTATGTGAATAGAACAGTTCAAAGGTGAACTGTGAACTGTTCACCATCTGGAATCGTTTAAAGCCCTTTGTACAGTTTGCACTGAAACTGTCTTTTGGACCTTGAACCGTTTGGTTACCAGTAAAGTCCATTATATGGAGAAAAATGCTGGAATGTTTTCATCAAAAACCTTAATTTCTTTTCGACTGAAGAAAGAAAGACATTGACATCTTGGATGACATGGGGGTGAGTAAATTATCAGCAAAAGTTTTTTTTTTTAAAGTGAACTACTCCTTTAACAAAAATTTCTGAGATGGTTAGGTTGTTCTGAACCAATGTAGGGGTGCGTTTCCCAAAAGTTATCAGTAGCGTTTCCATCGTTATCAGCATATAGTTCAACGAGTCGGTGTTTCCCGAAACCATTGTTCTAACGAAAATTCGCAAAGTTGTGTGGTTGAAACGACACTCTCGGGCTGTGGTTAGAAGCAGAGTTTATTGTTTGCATGACATGTGGACTCAATAAATCCTTATCTTGAGCAAAATAAGCAGGCTGACATTCAGTACAACCATTCGTTTTTGAAGACTGCGCATGTGCAAACGTGCTCTAGGCTACTATAAGAACGAGTCTATGATTGAATCTGTTAATTAAGCAAAATAAGTATGAAAAATGAGAAATAGTCCATATAGCATGTCCGTAATTTATAGCAAAAAGTCTATTAATTCGATCTCAATCAGATTCATTAAAATAAGGTGTGACATCATTAACCAACCAATTTGTGACAATATGGTTTCGAGAAACAGTCGTGACTAGCTATTTGATTTCTTCAACAATGTATCGTAGCCTATACTATGGTAGTTAACCAGCGAGTTATATCGTTGTACAGGAAACACACCCCTGAATGAGTCAGCTAAATAGTATGTTTACACTAGGATTTATATATTGCTATTTACACCACATTGCTACAATAAAAAAATCATAGCAGCTACCCATAGTATGTAGATGCAAATTTTCATTGTATAATTTTGTATAATTGTATAATGTATATAATTATGAATCAAAGAAGCATCTTCTCTGTAAAAACTTAAGTTAAGCTTGCGAACACACTGTTGATGGCAGAAATCTTAGTGTTTGGGTCACTTTGACTTTCTACCACCAACTCAGAGGAAGCAAGTCATTTATCATGCATTTAATTGTCATTCAAGAACATATTCTCTACAGAAAGAAACAAGATAGGGTTCAAGATCTTCTTCAATAGTCATTGGGCATCAACACTTCAGCGGCAGGGGATCACAAAGCCGAACGTGACATTATTATAATGCATGAGAGACACTGAGCAGTGAAAAATAAATAACATTGAATAGAATTGGGCTCTGTTACGAAATGGATGAACAGAGAAATAGAGACAGATAAACTGGAGAAGGCTTATCTTAATTATATTTGTTCTCTCTGTCTTCCATTATGAACTTTATAATTGCCTAAAAGGACTATAATCAGACTATCTGTGGTGGATAATAGCTTACTCAGACAAAAAAGTTAAAATCTCCCAAGGTTAAAAAGTTCAAGACATGAATAGATTCAAAAAGATAAGAAAAAAAAAGACCCCGTAAGACCTTCGTTCATCTTCGGAACACGAATTAAGATATTTTTGATGAAATCTGCGAGCTGGATCACTCCTCCATACCCGTCCATAGGCTTCTTGAGGGATTGAAACTTGCCAGCCTCAAAGTTGTTTAAGACATTGTTAAAATAGTCCAAGTGACTTCAGTGGCTCAATCTTAACTTTATCAAGCGACGAGAACACTTTTTGTATGCAAAAAAACAAACAAAAATAATGACTGTATTTCAACTTTTTTATTATTCAACTATTCATTTCCTTCTCTCTCTTGGCCTCGAGTCAGGTTACTAGCTTAACAGCGTATAATCTGTTGTACGTCACACGCATCACACGCATGACCAGCGTCGGCCAATAGTGAGCCTACGTGTGACGTAGTTCTACTCAATTGCAATAATTGAAATAAAGTCGTTATTTATGTTTGTTTTTGTGCACAAAAAGTGTTCTCGTCACTTGATAAAGTTAAGATTGAGCCACTGTAGTCACTCGGACTATTTCAAAAATGTCTTTAATAACTTTTTGAGGCTGGCACGTTTCAATCCCTCAAGAAGCCTATGGTCTAGTATGGAGGAGTGATCCAGCTCTCAGATTCAATCAAAAATATTTTAATTTGTGTTCCAAAGATCATCGAAGGTCTTACTGTCACGGATACACCAACACCAACTTCAGCGCCAGACACCTTCACTCCGCCCAATCGATCTGCTTCACCGGATTTCTAATCATCATCACCTGTCATCATCACCTGCCTGCAATCCCCGTCCCATTCAGCCTCACTACTTAAGATGCATCAGTTCACTCACTCATTGTCTGGTCTCGTCGATACACACGTCTAACAGACTCCCGCTTACCTGAGAATCACTTACCTGCTACTTACCTTCTCGAAGTCTTCATCCAGTTGATCTATGATGACATCTATGATGACGTAATGGGTTTAGAGATAATCATTCAACATTCCATTCGTGTGGATCAACGCCGCGCTGCCTGTCAGCTCGATTGTCCTGCACTACCTCCTCCTCGCCCCACATCAGGCTCTAGCCCTCCAGCACCAGAACCAATGGAGATAGGATCAAACCATCTGTCTGCCTCTGAACTCCAACGAAGGATTACGAATCATCTCTGTTTGTATTGTGGGGCCGCCGGTCATCAACTCCTGTCCTGTCCAGTTCGTCCACCTCGGCTGGCTGTGAGTACAGTTCGTCTTCCGCTACCCATTTCTTCAATGAAATACACTCCCGTGACCATTACTTACCAGAATCGATCTCTTCCAGTACAAGCATTGATTGACTCCGGTTCTGTAGGAAACTTCATCGCATTATCCACTCTCCAACGCCTTCAAACTCGTCAAAGAGCCATTCCTCACACTCTCCAGATTCATTCCATTCTAGGAAAACCTCTTGGCCAAGGGCGAGTCTGACATCGTAGTCCGGATATTTTTCTGACACACTGGCCCATGTCATTATGCGCAAGTATCTGTCAAGTATAGAAATTAGTGCAAAACTAATTATGAAAGTTTCCTTTATTTTTCAGTGCATTTGTTTTACAATAGCCTTTATGGCTATTACTATCATGGGATTAATATTATAAATATTATTATGTAGTAGTGTAATGTAGACAGACACTAACTAAAAGAGGTTCAAATTTGTCTTTGTTTAATTTGCACCCTGAATATGGGTTGGAGCTTTTAATTTTGAACTCTCAAAGTGCACCAGACTGCTGAATTTAACATTACAGAACACAAAATTTTCTTACGGGGGAGCGCGAAGCATGCCCCCGAACCCCCCTAGAGAAACAGAGGTCCACCTACCACAGTTTTACCTAAAATCCTGTGAGAAACACTGGTATTGCTGTTCCAATTGAGCTTATAGTTTTCTTAGGGGGGGTTCATCAAGGTGGAGTACCTATAATTTAATTGTGTTAATAAATGACAATTTTGCACTTATTTTTTTCTGTTAGCTCTCATTTCTTCCTACTCACTTATTACACAGCACACTTACATTACATTTATTTTCCTTTTTTTTGTGGGGGGGGGGGCGCTAAAATTTTTGCTGCATACCCCTCTGAAGCTGGGTAGTTGCGCCCCTGTCAACCAGTCTACAGTTAAGTTCCGTTATCCCCTTCCTCTGGTCCTGGCTGCACTAGAACAGCTTCGAGCTTCCCATCTGTTCTCCAAACTTGACCTCCGGAGCACATACAACCTGATTAGGATCCGCAAAGGAGACGAGTGGAAGACCGCGTTCATAACACCAGCGGGCCACTACGAATATCTTGTCATGCCCTTCGGTCTGTCCATCTCACCCGCTGTCTTTCGAGGCTTCATGAATGAGATCTTCCGTGACTACCTGAACCAGTTCGACATCCTCATTTACTCTGCCAACCTGTCTGAGCACATCCGTCATGTTCGGACAAGTGCGAGTTCCATCAGACAACCATTCAGTTCCTGGGCTATGTCATCCCCCCCCCAAGGTATCACCATTGACCAGAGGAAGGTGGACGCCGTCACCAACTGGCCTCGACCCACCAACCTCAAAGAACTGCAACGTTTCCTGGGATTCGCTAATTTCTATCGCCGTTTCATCAAAGGTTTCAGTCAGATCAGCGCACCCATCACATCACTACTCAAACATGGTCTCTGTCCTGGACCACAGATGCCATCAACGCCTTCGAAGATTTGAAGAAGACCTTTAGTTCAGCTCCTACCCTCATCCTTCCTGATCCGGATCTCCCCTTCCTTGTGGAAGTTGATGCCTCCACCTCTGGGGTAGGAGCTGTCCTATCCCAGAGGCAGGGGAACCCACTCCGACTCCATCCATGTGCCTTCTTCTCTAAGAAACTGTCCCCGGCGGAGCAGAATTATAATATCGGCAACCGGGAACTGCTGGCTATCAAACTCGCCTTGGAGGAATGGAGACACTGGCTGAAGGGAGCACAACACCCCTTCATTGTCATCACCGATCATCATAACCTGGAATACCTCTGTGAAGCTCGCAGACTCAACCCTCGCCAAGCCCGTTGGGCACTCTTCTTCACTCGCTTCAACTTCACTTACCGCCCAGGTCATAAGAATATAAAGGCTGATGCTCTATCCCGCCAGTTCCAACCGGATTCCAGTCCGTCTGTTTCTGAAACCATCCTCCCTCCAGCCATAGTGGTCAGTCCCATTCAGTGGAGCCTGGACGACCACATCGCCGAGGCCACCCAAGCTGAACCTGCTCCGCCGGGAGCTCCTAAAGGGACGGGTTTATGTACCCTCACGATTACGTCTGTCCCTCATGGACTCAATTCATACATCTCCGGGCTCTGGACACCCAGGCAGCCACCAAACCCTCTCGCTCATACAACAACGCTAACGGTGGCCTAATATGACCCAGGATGTCTCCCGATATGTAAAGAGCTGCTCAGTCTGCGCCATGGCCAAAGTTCCCCACCGACTCCCGGAGGGGAAACTCGTGCCGCTCCCAGTACCCACATGACCCTGTTCTCACTTAGGGGTTGACTTCGTCACCGACCTGCCCGTTTCTGACTCCCATACCTGCATCCTTGTAGTAGTAGATCGTTTTTCGAAAGCCTGCAAACTCATTCCCCTGCCAGTGTTACCCACCGCCTTTGAAACTGCTGAGACCCTGTTCCATCAAATATTCCGTCACTTCGGCATCCCTGAGGATATTGTATCTGACCGTGGACCCCAGTTCATTTCTCGCGTCTGGAAAGCCTTCTTCAATCTCTTGGGTGTTACCGTCAGCCTCAATTCCGGATACCATCTGGAGTCCAATGGCCAGACTGAGCGGAAGATCCAGGAGATCGGGAGATACCTGCGGTCATACTGCCATGACCACCAGGACTGCTGGAGTCACTATCTGCCGTGGGCCGAGTATGCGCAGAATTCGCTCCGCCAATCCACCACCGGTCAGTATGCAGCCAAGCCGATTCCAGACGTTCCGCAACACCCCAATATCAACCAGGGCAATTGGTATGCCTCTCGACTCGGGACATCCATCTGGCCGTGGAGGGGGGGTACTGTCACGGATACACCAACACCAGCTTCAGCGCCAGACACCTTCACTCCGCCCACTCGATCTGCTTCACCGGATTTCTAATCATCATCACCTGCCTGCAATCCCCGTCCCATTCAGCCTCACTACTTAAGACACATCAGTTCACTCACTCATTGTCTGGTCTCGTCGATACACACGACAAACAGACTCCCGCTTACCTGAGAATCACTTACCTGCTACTTACCTTCTCGAAGTCTTCATCCAGTTGACCACCCGTCTGCGGTCCTGATCCAGTCCTCCTGATTCCTGTCTTCAGTCTGCCTTCAGTTCTGTTCCACCTGCATAAGATAAGAGACTCTGTTTACCAGCCTGTTCATCCTGATCTGCATAACTCTGCTACCAGTTACTCACCTGCTATTCCTGCCATTACCTGTATCAATAAACTCATTTAACTTACCCATCTGTGTCTTCCGGCTTTGTGACACTTACGAGGTTGAAACAACATGAGGGTGAGTAATTACTGACAGAATTTTTGGGTGAACTATCCCTTTAAATAAACATTTAACGGTTACAAATGCCGAAGTAAATGTTACTTCAAACTTGTAATAAAATTGTAAATTTAACTTACTTCAAAGTTAATTTACTTCAAAATCAAATCAATTTATTTTTAAACACATTGTTTGAATTCATCAATATGATTTATTTTATTCAAATATTTTATTTATTTTATTCAAATATTTTAATAAATATAATTTTATTCATATATATATATATATATATATACTGTATATGTGTGTGTGTGTGAAGTTTGAATTGCTGTTTTTTGCAATTACACAACCGGTAGAATATTATGCCATTTGCCAGTTTGGCTAGTTTTTTCCAAATGACAGCTGGCGAATTAAATCTTTTCTTTTATAACTTGGCAATCCTGTGTTCTTTTTTTATTATGGATATTTAGAATTGTTCATCCCAGATGGAGTGCCCCAATCAGAACAAACATGTCCAGCTCATGTTTCCCAGGGGAGAACCAAAGCCATTTGAATCATCTTGTTTTTAACCAACCATTCATATTTTAATCCGTTTTAACATCTGACGGTTGAGGAGTGGCTATTATGTTATTACGGTTGAGGAGTTATTATGTTATTAAACATTATGTTTTTAAATATGAAACTTAAAAAAGAATAGAAAATGTGTGTATTTTTTGTGAAAAGTAGCAATGCACCATTTACCTCAGAAGGGAATACATAATCGAATAAGCAAGGGAAATCACTGTCATTATGAGTTTCTCCATATTGGCAATTTAGACCCACAGGTGCTCCATGACGTGGGCGAAGACTTAACATCTTGCTCTCTCGAGAGCAAAATTGGATTGCAGCTCAGTTATTGACGACAGATGTTTAGATTATTAATTTGCTCAAAAGTATACAATAGAACAGAGCGTTGCACACCTGATATCTAAACTCTGACTCAAAGAAATGATGTGCAACCTCAGCAATGAACAGCTTGGAACAACAAAGAAAATTTGGATGCTTTTCAAGGTTAAGATTGAATATGGAGAAAGGAGAGAGAGAAAGAGGGATGAGGGTGTGGGAGAGAGAGAGGGCTGTTTTGCTCCACGGCTGTATGGTGATAAGAGGTAGAGAGCTGCCTGAAGCACATGGGAGAAGGGCTACTGTCGCTGATATATACAGGACACACAGACGCTGGGACACTGGGTGAGTCAAGCACACATCTCTTCTTCTGTTTTAGCCCTTCATTTTATTCACACACAGCCTCTTGGTGAGGCTTTTTGAATGTAAATGTGAAATGCAATTTTTACCATTTATGATGTGATTTAATGACTATGCCTAATTACCATCAACACCCATCATGCGTATATCATGAGAGCTTCATTTGTCGATTCGAAGTTGATTTATTTTCTTCTCATAATTGGGAATCTAACAGGATTGAAAATAGTCCCCATTTAAATGTTGTATTATATTGTAAATTAAAGTGTGTTTAAAAAATAAAAATTGTTTGGACCCTCCAGCAATTCCGAAACATATCAAAATGGTCATAAAATACAACTTTAAAATGTGACGGCATTGAGTGAAATGTTCTTGAAATTCCTCCCAGACGGACTGGGCTCTCGGTGACCTGATATGGTCATACTGGCTTCCTGCGGCGGCTCTTTAACACAGTCCTCGCACTTTCTCACAAAGGAAAGAGAAAGAGCTGAGTTTTGTCAGTCTTCTGCTAACAATAAGCCCACATTGAATTTAAGCCCATGTTGCCCAAGAAAAGCAGAATAAAGATTTAAAAAGAAAAGTAAAATTTAAAGGCTAAATGTGTGAATGCACAAAGGGAGAACAAAGGGTAAAAAAAACAATTTGCCGAGTTTCGTGAGGCGCACTGATTACTCCATTACAGCCTTTCATTTCGGAGCATTGTGGGGCAGCTTGGCATAGTTGTAAAGAAGAAAGACTGAAAGACAGACAATGTCTGCCTTTTTTTAAGTCCCTCAAGTCCATTTTCTGAGAGTGAAAAGTACACCTCAACACCATGAGATATATCTGAAAGAAAAATAAAACATCATTTTTGAGTTTCTGATGGAGAACCCATGGCAGTCAGAGTGCACAGCATTTAAGGAAAATACTGTGACGCAAGTGATTTTGTCATTGTAAAGGTGTGGTAAATTACATGCCACCTGAGTCTAGCGTAGAAAATCTTTTATGGTTTATTGGCTTTGACGCTAGGTAAAAACAGAAGTCAAAACAGAAAGAAAAAACTGCACTCAGCGAGATGTTTCAAGAGCTCTTTGTGCATGTAATATTGTTTGTGCAATGAAAAATGCACTTTAATGGTTTCAAAATGATAACGTTGTAAAAGAATTATAAGTAATCTGCGTCTGTTTCTCATTTGTAACTCGCTTTTGATAAAAGTCTCTGCTAGTTGGTACATAAATGGACATTGTCATTTTAAAGTATATAGGGCTATTTTGGAAGTCGATTTTATAGGTCAGAACAGCTATTTAAAAACAACACATTTGCATAGTGTGAACACAACAGAAACTTTAAAAAAAATATCTCACAGAACAAATCTAATGCTAGCAAACAGATTCAGGAGCGAGGACAACACAGGCCTAAATCAAGTAAGCAGTGGGTGAAAGTGTGCTGGAGGGAGAGAAGATAAATGAAGGGATTTTTTGGTAGGCCTACAGCACAAGTGGGAAAACTAGAAGATCATTTCTCCTCCTTTCAAATGGGCTTAATTCAAGTCAAGTCATGTCCCCTTCGTTTATATATAGCGCTTTTAACAAGATTGTTTCAAAGCAGATTTACAGAGCTGGCATCCCTAGTTTGAACCACGAGTGATTCATAGCCTCAAAAATAGTGCTTTAACATTGCCACCATTTTAACTGTCAATGCGTTATTATTCGTTTACTTACCCTAAATTCACAACGAGACATTTTCTTCATACACAGTACGGAGTTACTGTCTGAAGACGTTTTTCCGCCTCCTTTTGATTGACAGGATATAATCGCCCCTCATCTTCGGCTGTTTTTATTGGCTGATACATCGGTGCATTTCTAAAAGATCGATTTTTATTAGGCCTACTTGAAATACAATAAACATGAACTTAAATGTTATCTTCAGTTTCCAAAACAGCATTTCTCATTTTCATTTAGTTTAAGAACATTTTTTAAAACTAAATAAAATATAATATAATACGAGTATTTCAAATATAATCAAATGTACAGACATACTGTAAATAAAACATTCAAACAAAAACACAACAAAATTACTAAAAATTTTACTCCAATGTAATTGAATTGTATGATAAAAACGAAATAAAATATAATATAATAAGAGTATTTAAAATATAATCAAATGTACAGACATATAAATAAAACATTCAAACAAAAGCACAACAAAATTACTAAAAATTTTACTCCAATGTAAATGAATTGTATGATACTAAAATAACTCTGGCGTCAAAGTAAATCATCTGGCAATGGGTTGAATGTAAGTGTTTTCCAAATAACTTGACATCTTTCCAATGTCACATTTATATTGAAAATGATTAAATTCTCTAATTGTTCAATTATTATTCAATTATTATGCCAAGCAAGCGGCTTGTGTCTTCCTGTCAGCAATATTTATTTCTACTGAGCCAGCCTCATTTTGCTTTGCAAGGATGCCAGAGTTTTCCTCAAGCAAGATTCCAGTCTTAAATTTGAATGTAGACTTTAGAAGTGAAAATATATTTCACTCATATTATATTATATATTAAATTGCTCTCTCTGGATGATTTTGCTTTCAGCAATAGTAGATGAATCCATTCTGATAACAATCAAGCTCCCAGCAGGAGCATCCAGGAGAGAAACATTCATTACAGACCCTCACCTTTAAGGATTTAAGGATTTTTATGTCCTTCAGCCACAACATGGATATTCTGTTCACCTCTTCCTTCCCCGTTTTATGCCAGCACTCTGAATATAATCTCACAACTCTCTGTCCTGACAACCAAAAAGTAAACTCAACTCCTGCTCTGGCTAACCCACCAGCGTTTGGTATGTCCTACTTCACCATGGCCCTCGGTGCCTTCTCAAACCTAACCGCTCTAGCAATCCTAGCCCATTCCTATGCCTGCCTCCGCCGACGGGCCAAAGCGCCGTTCCTCCTGCTGGCTTCAGCCCTGCTTCTGAGCGACCTGGCAGGTCACCTGATCACAGGGTCTTTCGCACTTCACCTCCATCTTGAAAGGGTGAAGCATCACGGGGCGGCAGTAGTGGAGCCTCCTCAGTTATACTGCAAACTATTTGGAGCTTGCATGGTGTTTTTCGGCCTTTGCCCGCTCCTGCTGGGCAGTGCGATGGCAGTGGAGCGCTGCATAGGCATCACAAAACCTCTCCTGCACCCGGCGGTTGTCACCATGACACGCGTCCGCCTCACCGTGCTCCTGATCGCCTCCACGGCTCTCACTTTGGCGGGACTCCCTCTGCTAAAAGTGGGCGACTACAAACCACAGTTTCCCGGCACCTGGTGTTTCTTACCTGTGAACGGTCCGCTTTCAATCGCTGACGCCAACCTTGCTTTGGCTTTTTCCATCCTGGGGCTTGTAACTTTGAGCATCTCAGTTGTGTCTAATACTATAAGTGGACTGAAATTGCTCCAGGCAAGGTTTAAGGACCGATGTGTTAAGTTAAACTCTGCTCGGAAGCACAGATCCTTCTCATTTTCGTCTCTGCATTCCCTGGACGTGGAAATGATGACTCAGCTGGCTGGGATAACAGTGGTCTCTTGCATCTGCTGGAGTCCCTTTCTGGTAAGTGAGGCGTTGTGCATTTGATTGTGTTTCTCTGCATTTGTGTTTTCTGGACGTTTTGACTGTTTTCCTCTTCATTTCACAGATTTACATCCTCATATCCGTTGGCAGGTTCTATAAAGGAATCAGCAGACCGGTGCGTCAGTGTGAAAAGATGCTCCTCTTGGCTCTGCGCTTGGCTAGCTGGAACCAGATTCTGGATCCATGGGTTTACATCCTCCTGCGGCGATCGGTTCTGCGCAGAGTTCTTCGGCTTCTGCAGCCAGACAGAGCTGTGTTTACACAGATCACTCCTCAGAGCACTACAGTGACTCGCACAGAAAGCAAATGAGTTGATTTACACATTTGCTTATAATGTTTACATGGGGTCAAAAATGTATTAAATCAATATTTATAAAGAATTTGTGTGATTAAGAAGTGAAAAGAAGTGCGCTTGACTGATTGAATGTGTACATAGCCTACTTCAAGTCTCAAAAGTAGGCCTATAAAAGCTAAATAAAGGTGTAAATGGAGTCTAAACCGCTTTGAGCTTGTCCACTTTCAACCACATCCAGAAACGGTAGTCGGAAACGCATTTGACCGGATTGCTTTCGTAGTGTAAACGCTCATGTGGTCGAATGTGTTTGAACGGACACAAAAAGATGCCCGCTCTCTGCATACTGACCTGATGTGGGAACATTAGTGGACAAAAGAGATGGATTAAAACACCAGACGTAAACGAGTATGTGTCTGCCTCGTCTTCTTGCGACCCGTTCGACCAAAACAAAATCTTAATACCAGGTGTAAACAGCGCCGATGTGTATTGAAAGACAGAAAACTTTCATGACTACATGTCTTAGCACACTTAAATCCACTTAAAGTGTTTAAATTCTGGTGTTATTGCTGCAAAAGGAGTAAATTCCAAAATTATTAAAGGTAAAAATGGATAAAAACAGTACGACTCACTTCATCTGATGTTTGTTGTGCTCATAGCAACACATTATGAAACGAAATCAAAAAAAGTCAATATTTTCAGATCTGTCAGGTGTTTTAATAATTTTGGCCACTACTGTGCATGTAATGACATAACAATGTTAACTTCATCATTAAAAATGCGTAGATAAATCAGTATTTAAATTCATTACATTCATGTTTCAATAGAAATTACTTTAAAGTTGGCCATATTTTGGTTTACCATAAATGCTTGTCGGTACATCCGGCGGTAGGCTACAATTTAAACATTTCAATTTTTTCTAAAGTGTATAGCCTACTTCTTTTTCACAAGGGTTGCGTAATCATAGTAACCTAGTTACAACCAAAGACCCCATGGATAAAGCAAAGATATTGACTAGGAAAAATACAAGAGTCCCACAAAAATAACGTCAGTGGTAAAACATCTACAATTAAATATACTTTTAATGGGTAGGATATGCTCTATTAAAAATATTTGAGTAGCACTTTACAATACGGGTGCACTAATAAGCATTAATTCATGCTTAACTAATGCACAGATAATACTGAATTAATGTGTAACTAATGATAATTTAAGCTAGTCATTAATGATTACCACATGATTATCTGTGCATGTAGTTAAGTATGTTACTAGTACTTGCGTGGATACAGTGTTTTTGTATTTCATAATACTCTGTGTGAGTTGTTTTATATTATTTATTTATTTGGTATTTATTTATTTATGGTACTACTATGGTATACCATGGTACGTACTATAGTTTATCATGGTAAAATTTCTTATGGGTGAATTAATGTATATTGTGCACCCGTATTGTAAAGTGTTACCAATATTTGTATAGGCTACAACAGCCACTGTTGTGTGTGTGTGTGTGTGTGTAGCTACATTAATAAATAGGTATCGAAGTAGGTAACTTTAGTACTTGGTGATAAATTGTTAACAAGGTTGCGTTTTTGAGGGTTGCAAGCGTCTGTGTATTCATTCAGCAAAGTATGACAAAACAACGCGTTTGTCCATGAAAGTTACAGTGATGTCACCTGTTCATAAAAAAGTGCGAGACTTGACTTTTTTATATAAAGTAACAGAACTACCCGCGTGTCTGTGTTATTTGAGTACGTAATGATAAATAATAATAAAAAAAAGAATTAAAAAAATGAACAACATCAGTGAGGAGAACACGACGATTACACTTTTATTGTGAAAAACAGCCTCTTTCAGCCATTTTGGATAGCTTTCTCTCCAACCAACTCCAGCTTCATGACATGTTGCTGCCTGCAAAGTGCAAACAGCCAGTGGATGTTAGTAAACACACAGTTAGTCAAAAACGTGCTGCATGTGAAGTGAAAATATTTCCCGAGTAGTGTTTACTTCTGCATATAACGGACTACCATAGTAAGTTCCCCCTGCTCTGTGTTCTCGGGACGCTCGTGTTAACTTTCACGGGGGTCGTCCCATGTCTTGACAGATCAGGGCTGGCTGAACTACATTTGTCTACCATAGGTAAGTATTCATGAGTGTTTTATTGTTTTATGATACCAGCATCATAAACAATCAGTAGACACTGACAGTATGTCATAATGATAACTGATGACTTCCAATCGCTGCTGTTTAAAAAGTGTTTAAAAGTGATGTGCTGCATCATGGACCTGTTTCAGGATGCACTATGTGGCGAGTGGCTCCCTGTCCTTCGGTTCTATGGGCCTGCTCCGTCTGTTTGGGGCATCTTGGACCTGGAGCATTGCAGCAGGTCTGGGAGTTTATTTAGGAACGGGAGGCTGGCGGTACCTGTATGTGGTTGTTCGAACGGCTAAAAGGGACATCAAGTGAGTGACTGATATTTTGGATATCATACAAAATTACTTTGTGGGTCAATATCACTATAAAGTGCCTTTGCTGTCCTCATCAGAATCGCTCAGTCATCATGAACATAATACAAAATAATGGAATTCTGAGGTTTTATTATAAATGGCCCAACACTTACACACATACAAGTACAATTATAAGTCTTTTGAAATGTGTTTTTCTGATTTTATACCATTTTCTTTGATTGCATACGTGATTTTGGCATGTCCCACACGCTACTCAGCTTACTTCATTGATTGTAAAAAGTGGTTAAATGACATAAAATTAAAGGGTTAGTTCACCCAAAAATGAAAATTAAGTCATTAATTACTCACCCCCATGCTGTACCAACCCCGTAAGACCTTCGTTCATCTTCGGAACACAAATAAAGATATTTTTGATTGAATCTGAGAGCTGGATCAGTCCTACATAGACTGCCTAAGGGACTGGCTCTTGACGGCCCATAAAGTCATTAAAGAAAAGGTTTAAATATTCCATGTGCCTACAGCGGCTCAATTATAAGTTTATCAAGCGACGAGACTACTTTTTGTGCGAAAAAAACACAAATAACGACTTTATTCTACTATTCCATTACTTCCTTATGGGCGCATGCGCGAGAACTGAGACGAGGACGTTCTCCTTCGACCACTTCTTGTTACCGGCTGCTCACCGCTTAGGAGTTTTACCGCCCCCTACCGTATAAAATGATGAGCTGATATAGCTGGAAGCGCAAAACTTTCTGTTTACAAGCAGAGGAAGATGCGCGCTGTACATACGCTTTTCAATTTGCATATTTTCCGCACTATAAGGTGCACTTAAAAGCCTTTAATCTTCTCAAAAAACGACAGTGTTCCTTATAATCCGGAGCGCCTTATATATGGATCATCATTTTATACGGTAGGTGGCGGTAAAACTCCTAAGCCATGAGCAGCCGGTAACAAGAAGTAGACGAATGAGAACGTCCTCGTCTCAGTTCTCGCGCATGCGCCCATAAGGAAGTAATGGTCGTTATTTATGTTTTTTTCACACAAAAAGTATTCTTGTCGCTTGATAAACTTATAATTGAGCCGCTGTAGGCACATGGAATATTTAAACCTTTTCTTTAATGACTTCATGGGCCGTCAAGAGCCAGTCCCTTAGGAAGCCTATGGAAGAGTGATCCAGCTCTCAGATTCAATCAAAAATATCTTTATTTGTGTTCCGAAGATGAACGAAGGTCTTACGGGGTTGGAACAGCATGGGGGTGAGTAATTAATGACTTCATTTTCATTTTTGGGTGAACTAACCCTTTAAAATACTTTTTGAATGTTCTTATTGTCCTCAGCAAATTATTTAGTAAAACAAGTAATTTTGATTATTTATATTTTATTTCCATAATAATATTAAGCATTTTGCATGTGTCCCTGAAATTGCTGTCCACCCTGTCATTATTGGGTAAACGCCCCTTTAAAAAATCAACTGATGTACTCAGTGACATCCCCTCCCCCATTTGGTCTTTCTTCAGTGGAGGTTAAAACATCTGCTGCCACACAGTTAGTATCTACACTTATATTTTCTAATTTTCGTCATTTTATGTTTGTAGTTGTGTGTGGTCAAGCTTAAAGTCCCCGTGAACCGGAAGTTGCAAACGATTTTTCTCCAGTGCTGTGACGTATTTCCATCCAAGTGAAACGGAATATTGAACAGAGGGCAGGGTTTTACTCTAGCGCTCCTCCTCTCCATCTCTCGCTCATAGCAAACTAACGGTTTGAGGGGAGTGGTTAAGCGTTTCCCCACCCAAACTGACTTTTACGTCATCAGAAAAAGAAACCGTTCCAGACCGGAAGTAACTTTTCAGATTTTGATTAAAGATTACCAAGGTAAAACATTTTTTAAATATATTTTTACTTGCACGGATTAATTGTTCACCACAAGACTAGTAATATGCGCTAACAAAGTAAATAGGTTCAATTTTGATTTCACAGGGACTTTAACATGTCCACCCTGTCATTGTGAAATATTAATTAATATAAAAACTGTTCAGAAATTCAAAAATATATTTTAAACAGTGCACAGTCATCTTCAACAGGGAATCACTTTGCTAACTGCTATACACCATGTGCTCATTAAATGCTAACTTTAGCCAAAAATGTCCACCCTGTCATTGTCCACCCTGTCACAAAGCCGTCCATGACAGTGTGGACATGGTACATGACAGGAAGGCCATTTGCAGGTTTATGTACATTTAGCTGTTTTTTTTCACATATTATAACAGTGTATTCTATACATGAGTGGACATGAACTTTTTGGGAAATATCACTATCAGCAGGTGTTTTGATGATGATAGTTTACAAGCCTTTTTTCCTTCTCTTAGAAGAAAAGATTCCATGGAACCTTAAAAGGTTCTATCAGCGCTACGTATTTGGAACCCCTAAAAGGTTCTATACAGAACCCTTTTTAAGGGTTGAATAATAAGAACCCTTTAGGGTAAAAGGTTCTATATGGAACCTTTTGGGTTCATTCATTATCATTTGTTTCGTCCTTTCTGGATTAAATGTTTCATATTATTGACAAACATCAAGTTTTTGTATTTATGATTGCATGTGAATGATCACAAAATTCAAGATATGGGGGTTAGGAAATGTATATATTTATATAATTAATGCTACTGTTATTTTCTAGTTCATGCATTCAAGCATTTGTCCACCCTGTCATGCCTATGTGATCTTGTTGTCCACCCTGTTCTTAATAAACAAATGAGACCCAGTTAGATTTGTTATAAAGTTTGACTAAATATCTTTGTTGTTAGATTTTATTTAGAAAAGAATGTGACACTATCGCATATTTTATTGGGCAAAACGTATTTAGGCAGTAACTTAATTATTATCAAAAGACGTTTACCATTAACTGAAATGTTTTGTTGGGAAAGGGACACATTATTGTTCTGCAGATCTACATTTTATAATCACTATGCAATGAAAATGTATTTGTTCTACTTTGAATTTGTCCATGACAGGGTGGACATTTTTTATGGTTTACTCGTACATTCTCAGCTTGCAGTTAATTTTTGAAAAGTGCTGGAGCTTGACCAATATGCATTTCTAACAGCCTACGGTCTCCTTAATACAAAACATGTAAAGTTCAATGGAAAATCTCAGATTTGTTTTTTGGAAATTGTGAAGTCTCAAAGGCACTTTATGGTGATATTGACCCTTGTAATGTTTAACCTAAATTCGTCATGAAACGGATGATGCGATTCCCTGTTATATAAATCCGAGTGAAACCGCTTTACGAGCAAGAAAAAATGTAGGGCGGGACTCGTCAGCAATTGATTGGATGGTTGTGGTGTGCTATTGTTGAATAGCTATGTATTGTGCGATCTCATGTGAGTGACAGGTGATTTAACCCTTTCGCCAGTAAACACATCAGGAGAGAAGAGATGATGCTGCAAGAGGGATGGGGGAAGTGGGGGAAGGGACACATTAAAGGAGTAGTTCACTTTAAAAAACCAAAAAAACTTTTGCTGATAATTTACTCACCCCCATGTCATCCAATATGTCCACATCTTTCTTTCTTCAGTCGAAAAGAAATTAAGGTTTTTGATGAAAACATTCCAGGATTTTTCTCCATATAATGCACTTTACTTGTAACCAAACAGTTCAAGATCCAAAAGACAGTTTGAAGACAAACATTGATCTCTTTTTTCTTGGTGCGGACTTCAAAGGGTTAAAAAACAACTATCAAGCCTCGTCCTACTTTTTTTGTTCTTCAACAGCAGTTTCACTCAGAAATGCATCCCTTCTACTGTAGCTTTCCTATCTCTTTTCCGAATTTTCATTTGGTTACGAGACTTGTGAGAACTGCTGTCAAGGGGCAGTCACAGTACAAATATTTTAAGGGCAATAAAGTGTGTTTTCTTTCTAATTTATGTAGTCTATTTTCAATAGTGTTGTGTTGTCTGAAGCACAACTCACACAGAAGTCACTTTCAAACCAATGCGGCGACTTTGTACTTGCTGCAGCATTGTCATGGGGAAAGGTTGCTGGGGATTGTTGGTGTATTTATGATGTCTGTCTTTTGGTTATTTATGTCTGAGAGTTGTACCAAGACAAATTCCTATCAACTTTGTTGACATGGCAAAAAATTATTGAAACTTGAAATACTTAGTCCTCACTAAAGTCTGATTCATGTTGATTCCTGTTGAAAATAATTGAATTTTTTCGCATGAAAATTTGCTGAACGACGTTAAACGTGTCCGCAACTTCATTAAACGAAGTAGTTCACTTTTTAAAAAAAAACTTTTGCTGATAATTTGCTCACCCCCATGTCATCCAAAATGTCCACTTCTTTCTTCAGTCGAAAAGAAATTAAGGTTTTTGTTGAAAACATTCCATCATTTTTCTCTATATAATGGACTTTACTGGTAACCAAACGGTTCAAGATCCAAATGAGAGTTTCAGTGCAAACTGCAAACTGTTCAAAGTGCTTTAAACGACTCCAAACGATGAATAAGGGTCTTATCAAGCGAAACGATCGCTCATTTAAAAAAATAATAATAATAAGTTTAAGTTTTATAAGCTCAAATGCTCGCCTTGCTCTGTTCTGTGATGCGCGTTCATGATTCTCCTGTTGGAACTCATTCATCAAAATGAATGAATCTTTTTTCGAGTCATTTGGTTCATTCAACGAATGAAATGAACGAATTGATTCAGAAAAAGATTTGTTCATTTTGATGAATGTCTTCGAACAGGAGAGTCACACAGAACAGAGCAAGGTGACCATTTGAGCTTATACAACTTAAACTTTGTTATTTATTTTTTAAATGAGCGATCGATTCGCTTGATAAGACCCTTATTCATCGTCTGGAATCGTTTAAAGCCCTTTGAACTATTTGCAGTTTGCACTGAAACTGTCTTTTGGACCTTGAACCGTTTGGTTCCCAGTGAAGTCCATTATATTAATTTAATTATATTAACTTAATTTCTTTTCTACTGAAGAAAGAATGACATGGACATCAGATTCTTGGATGACATGGGGGTGAGTAAATTATCAGCAAAAAAAATTAAAAGTGAACTACTCTTTTAACAATGGATCTGGCGTTGCACATATTAAGGAATGACTTTGAATATTTTAATGAGAGCTACTAAAAATGACCAATGCTTCACATGTAGTATTTTCAGCAGGTGTAAATAACTGATTATTCCTCATCTTGTCCATCAGTGGGCTTTATGTGCTGCTGAGGGTCAAACTGGCGCTATGGCATCATATCCGTCACAGAAACACCATACCCTCCATCTTTGCACAAACCGTGGCTAAACACCCAGACAAGCCTGCGCTCGTGTATGAAGCCACTGGGGAAACATGGACTTTCTGCCAGTTAGATCAGATCTCCAATGCTGTGGCCCATTGGGCACTGAGCCAGGGCTGGACCTCAGGAGATGTGGTGGCGCTCTTCATGGAGAGCCGGCCGCTCCAAGTGGCGCTCTGGCTTGGCCTGGCCAAAGTAGGTGTGGAGGCTGCGCTCATTAACTTCAACCTCCGAAAGGATTCGCTCCTGCACTGCGTGGGTGTGTCAGCATCCCGAGGAATGGTGTTTGGAGCAGAGCTAGCGGACGGTGAGTCGACTCGATAACCTTCTCTTTGACTCTTTGATCAGGACCATCCTACTAAATGCACATGTGTGTTTGTAGCCCTGTCTGAAGTGAGCTCTTCCTTGAGTGAGACCATGGTGCGGTTCAGCACCGGAGACCTCAGTCCAGACCAGATGGCCGCTCTGAAATGTCAGCCTCTTGACCCCATTCTGGCATCTTCCCCTCGACACTCACCACCGTGCACTGTGTCCAAGGGCTTCAGCGGTGAGATTCACAGTATTACAAGGGTTTACTTGTAGAGCAGAGGTATCGAACAGGTAGACCATGGGGCGGATATGGCTCGTAGAGGAGTCTAAGGCCCTGTTTACTCCTGGTATTAAAGGGATAGTTCACCCAAAAATGAAAATTCTGTCAGTATTTACTCACCCAGCCAACCCCGTAAGACCTTTGTTCATCTTCGGTACATGAATTAAGATATTTTTGATGAAATCTGAGAGCTGGATCACTCCTCCATACTAGTCCATAGGCTTCTTGAGGGATTGAAACTTGCCGGCCTCGAAAAGTTATTAAAGACATTGTTAAAATAGTCTAAGTGACGACAGTGGCTCAATCCTAAGTTTATCAAGCGACGAGAACACTTTTTGTGCGCAAGAACAGCAAAACAAAAATAACGACTTTGTTTCAACTATGCATTTCCGTCTCTTTGGGCCTCAGGTCAGGTTACTAGTTTAACTTGTCTACTTGTGAACCGATTGACCAAATCTTAATACCAGGTGTAAACAGGGCCAAAGTTGAAAGAATAAGAATACATTTGAAGAGTTCAGATGCAAAAGCCTCTAAATGCCATTTGAAATTTTCTTCTTTAATGATGATTTTTATCAAACTTGTATATTTAAGTTCAGTAAGTTCACTTAAATGGCAAATTACTGAACTTAAATATACAAGTTTGATAAAAATCATCATTAAAGGACAACTCCGGCGCAAAATGAACCTTTGGTCTAATAACACATTGTTACCTATTCAACCGTTATCTCAGATTTGTTTTCATGATTGCCGAATGTAAATAGTTTTATCTCTAAAAACAGTTTAGCCTATAGCGCTAGTATAATGCTAGTATATAGGGCATAGAGCAATGACAAATAAAAATCGCTTGTTATTACCACTAACAAGGCTCAAAATAGCCCCACAGTTACACGGTAGCATAATAAGTGTCCCTACATTCAAACCGAAGCATTGAGAACTTTGTCAGTGTCCAAACAGTTTAATAAGAAGATATTTTATACACACAGTCAACTTCGTGAATACAGGAAGAAGCCATCTTGGAAAAATAGTCCCTACCAGTCGATCTACGAACGCCGATCCAAGTGCGCTGAACTGTGCAGAATCTCATATGGTCCGTTGTTTCCGGAAGAAACACAAACACTAACCGTTTTCTTCTGTTCAATATGTACACGTAGCCTACTGTTCGCGATCACCTTATCACCTTATTCACATCTCACCAGCGCACTTGGATCAGCGCTCGTAGATCGACTGGTAGAGACTATTTTTCAAAGATGGCTTCTTCCTTTATTCGCGAAGTTTACTGTATGTATAAAATATCTTCTTATTAAACTGTTTGGACACTGACAAAGTTCTCAATGCTTTGGTTTGAATGTAGGGACCCTTATTATGCTGTCGTGTTACTGTGGGGCTATTTTGAGCCTTGTTCGTGGTAATAACAAGCAATTTTTATTTGTCATTACTCTATGCCCTATATACTAGCGTTATACTAGCGTTATAGGCTAAACTGTTTTTAGAGATAAAACTATTTACATTCGGCAATCATGAAAACAAATCTCAGATAACGGTTGACTAGGTAACAATGTGTTATTAGACCAAAGGTTCATTTTGCGCCGGAGTTGTCCTTTAAAGAATTTTTCAAAATTTCAAATGGCATTTTGCATCTGAACTCTTCATTTATTTTATGGGTTTGGGTTGTTGTTATATGAGCGCTGACTTCATTGAGAATATCACCAACATTGCAAAAATCAAATAAAAACTGCCTTGAGAGAGTCCATGCATTCTCTTTATGTTGAACCATTGCATGTATCCAAACAACACAGAGCAGTGTTTAGTTAATGAATGACGGCAAGTTCAAGTGAGGGATTAAACGACCCATTTATTAAGTGTAACCAATTATAAAATGGCCTTCACAAGCTGAAGTTTATTGTGCAGAAGTCCAGCCCTCCAAAATTAAAATGAGTTTGACACAGCTGCTGTAGAGACTCATTTCGAAAGGTCTGATGGTTCTGATGCCTTCTTTGACTATCAGCGCACTTGAGTGTTACATTTATTTCACATCCTGTGCTTTTATTATCTCTGCTGCTGCATTTTTGTTGCAAAACTTTGTGCTGTGGGCCTTTATGGAAGTTTTTATGGAGGCGAGTTCAAAAAATATCCTAGACGATTGGTTTTGAGTCCATCTGAGGCACAGGCTTTTGGGCAGATATTAAAATGATGTGTAAACCTTGTCTGTCTGTTTTTCCTGAGGGCTACTAGATTTGGCCAGTTATTAGTGTGTAAAGTATATTTTTTGATGTCCTCCTTAGCAATAAGAGTGTATATTCCACTTCTCAGACTAGACTATTTATTACAAATATGGCCAATTGTCTGTTACACAAGTCGTTATGAGAACACTTCATGTTGTGCTGCTGGCAGTTGGATTGGTTTCTTTGTATAATGGCCCTGAATCAGCCAAAACATTGAGTCGCAAATTAATTAGAGTTCTCTCAAGAGATATATTAGCTCAAATAAATAGTTTCCGCTCTTGTGAAGTGGTCTTCAGTTCTGTTAAAAGCTCTTTTGTTGATAAGAGACGGTAATCCTTCTAAAGACAAGCATGTGATTGAGAACGAGATAGAAATGGCAGAAATAAAGGTAAAGAGATATTTAGGAATGTCCGAATAACGTATTTTTACTATGTTCAGGTTCAGCATAAACCAACACAGAATATCCAACTACTACGTTATGTAATATTGTGCACTAGGAATGTCATCGTATCAAAATTTCAGGAGTTGATATTATTAATAATGTAATTTTACAATCGTCAATACAATTTTCAAGACTACAGCAAAAGCTAAAATGCCATTTCTTTTTTGCCAATATGCTTTATTTAACAAAATAATAAACATTAAGAAATTGAACAGGAAATACACAGTAATCAAAAGAAAATACTTTATTAAACAATATAATTATTAAATTATTTTATTTTGTTAAAAAAGTACACACAATTCTTTCTAAACATAAACTATCCCTCAAATGGTTTTTTGTTTTTTTATTATCTCCTGCTCACAAAGGCTGCATTTATTTGATCAGCATAGACAGTAAAATATCATTAAAATTGAAAATGATCGGTATGCTAATTTGTGCCACTTAATATTTGATGGTTTTATAATGGTTATTTGTAACATTATAAATGTCTTTGCTGTCGATTTTAATCAAATGAACGCATCCTTGCTGAATAATGCACTGCACACTAGACCGCTACCATTAAACTAGTAGTCCAAGCATCACCCATGTCTCATCATGTTTTCCCTTTCTCATACAGATCGTTTGTTCTATATCTACACTTCTGGCACCACTGGACTTCCTAAGGCTGCTATAGTGGTGCACAGTCGGTAACCTGCTCGTAGCCACGCCACAATCTTACGGCTGTCCTTGGAAATGAAACAAGCTTTTATTAAACTACTTCTATTTCCTAGGTATTACAGGATTGCTGCTTTCGGGTACCATTCTTTTCGTATGCGGCCAGACGACATCATCTATGACTGTTTACCCCTCTACCACTCAGCAGGTGTGTTGTGCATGTCACAGACATGTTGCTCCTGGCCTCATAGGCTCTATGTATTTCTATAAATAAGTTTTAAGCTGTTTGATATCGTTGGTTTCGAATTAAACGTACTGTTGCAGATTTCACATTTAGCTCAACATCTGTTGGATTTACTCATTAACAGGGAATATTATGGGTGTGGGCCAGTGTCTGATTCACGGTATAACCGTGGTGGTCAAGAAGAGGTTCTCTGCAAGTCGCTTCTGGGAAGACTGTATCAAACATAACTGCACTGTAAGTCACTTGCATACATTTCGGTCATTAATGGCAAATAAGGGTACATTTTAGAGCCCGACTGATAAAGGATTTTGAAGACCGATACAAATATTTCTTGGTTTTAAAGGGTTGGTTCACCCAAAAATGAAAATTCTGTCAGTATTTACTCACCCTCATGTTGTTCCAACCCCGTAAGACCTTCGTTCATCTTCGGAACACAAATTAAGATATTTAAGATATTAAGATCGCTCCCTTCTACTAGTCCATAGGCTTCTTGAGGGAATGACTTGCTGTCCTCGAAAAGTAATTAAAGACATCGTTAAAATAGTCCAAGTGACTACAGGGGCTCAATATTAAGTTTATCAAACGACGAGAACGCTTTTGTGCGCAAAAAAACAACAAAAATAACGACTTTATTTCAACTATTCGTTTATTTCTCCCTCTGCGTGAGTCAGGTTACTAGTTTAATAGCGTAAGCTTCTGTTATTGTACGTCACACGCATCACACACATGACCAGCGTCGGCCAATAGTGACCCTACATGTGACGTAGCTTTACGCTAACACACTACGTTAACTGACTGCAGGCCCATGGAGAAGGAAGTGAATAGTTGAAATAAAGTCGTTATTTTTGTTTGTTTTTGCGCACAAGTGTTCTCGTCGCTTGATAAAGTTAAGATTGAGCCCCTGTAGTCACTTGGACTATTTTAACGATGTCTTTAATGACTTTTCGATGCCAGCAAGAGTCATTCCCTCAAGAAGCCTATGGACTAGTATGCAGGAGCGATCTTAATATCTTAAATATCTTAATTTGTGTTCCGAAGATGAACGAAGGTCTTACGGGGTTGAAACAACATGAGGGTGAGTAAATACTGACAGAATTTTCATTTTTGGGTGAACTAACCCTTTAATGAGTCAGTGTTATGAGTGAATAAATTCACTAATAAATACAAGAGTGTGTCGTTTTTACTCTTACAACAGTCTGTTTTTCCCATCTCCTCTAGGTTGTGCAGTACATTGGCGAGATTTGCCGTTACCTGCTGTCCCAGCCTGTGCGGCCCACGGAGCGACAGCACCGGGTGCGTTTGGCTGTGGGGAACGGGCTGCGGCCGAGCGTGTGGGAAGCCTTCGTGGAGCGCTTTGGGGTAAAACAGATTGGCGAGTTCTATGGAGCCACCGAGTGCAACTGCAGCATTGCCAATATGGATGGCAAGGTCAGATATCAGTGTTGTTCTGAGAACGTCACATTTTGAAATGACTAATGAATTTTGTCATTTGTAACAGTTAAACGAATGGTTAAAAACTCACTCTCGACACGGCAGGTTGGAGCTTGTGGGTTTAACAGTCGCATTCTTCCTAATGTGTACCCCATTCGACTGGTGAAAGTGAACGAGGAAACCATGGAACTGGTTCGGGACAAGCAGGGACTGTGTGTGACTTGCCGACCTGGTGCGTTCAGAGCCGAAAACTCTTGTTTGATTTATGTTTCCTGATCATGCAGTAGGTTTTTAGATCTGGTCAGAGTCTGATATATGGTGGCCTTAAAGCTACACTGTGTAAGTCTTTTAGTTCATTCTTAGCTAAAAACACTTAGTATTCTCGTGAGTGTATAATATGCCATTGAAAATACATACGGGTAAGGGGTTCTAATGTCGGTCGCCATGTCGCCCCTCCATCTTGAATGTACATTAGCCAAAGAGGGACATACCCGTTAAAGGGTTAGTTCACCCAAAAATGAAAATTAAGTCATTAATTACTCACCCCCATGCTGTTCCAACCCCGTAAGACCTTCGTTCATCTTCAGAACACAAATAAAGATATTTTTGATTGAATCTGAGGGCTGGATCAGTCCTACATAGACTGCCTAAGGGACTGGCTCTTGACGGCCCATAAAGTCATTAAAGAAAAGGTTTAAATATTCCATGTGCCTACAGCGGCTCAATTATACGTTTATCAAGCGACGAGACTACTTTTTGTGCGAAAAAAAACATAAATAACGACTTTTTTCCACTATTCCATTACTTCCTTATGGGCGCATGCGCGAGAACTGAGACGAGGACGTTCTCATTCGTCTACTTCTTGTTACCGGCTGCTCACCGCTTAGGAGTTTTACCGCCCCCTACCGTATAAAATGATGATCCATATATAAGGCGCTCCGGATTATAAGGAACACTGTTGTTTTTTGAGAAGAAAAAGGCTTTTAAGTGCACCTTATAGTGCGGAAAATACGCAAATTGAAAAGCGTACATGTATGTACAGCGTGCATCTTCCTCTGCTTGTAAACAGAAAGTTTTGCGCTTCCAGCTATATCAGCTCATCATCTTATACGGTAGGGGGCGGTAAAACTCCTAAGCGGTGAGCAGCCGGTAACAAGAAGTAGACGAATGAGAACGTCCTCGTCTCAGTTCTCGCGCATGCGCCCATCAGGAAGTAATGGAATAGTGGAAAAAAGTCGTTATTTATGTTTTTTTCGCACAAAAAGTAGTCTCGTCGCTTGATAAACTTATAATTGAGCCGCTGTAGGCACATGGAATATTTAAACCTTTTCTTTAATGACTTTATGGGCCGTCAAGAGCCAGTCCCTTAGGCAGTCTATGTAGGACTGATCTAGCTCTCAGATTCAATCAAAAATATCTTTATTTGTGTTCCGAAGATGAACGAAGGTCTTACGGGGTTGGAACAGCATGGGGGTGAGTAATTAATGACTTAATTTTCATTTTTGGGTGAACTAACCCTTTAATTCAAGCTTCGCCTTTCGCGTTTACATCTGAGTTAACACTCATGGACGAGGTCGAACTGGAAGCCATGTTAATCTTGGACTACTTTGGCCACTGTAGGAGTTAAAACTAAATCGGAATTGAGAGGAACAGAAACTAATATTCACTGGATGGTCATATACCTTTTCACCGCTAGATGGGGGTAAAAATCACACAGTGTAGCTTTAATGTATTTGGACACTTTAAATGTATGAATATCATTGAATTAAGTAAAATATCAAAGCTAATGGCATGCAGTTTATATAAAGATAGCCCATGCACACTTATCAAGTCAACAGCTGTTGGCATTTTACTGCAATAAACTGTAACAATGTACAAAATGAATGAATATTCATTCTCTCACAGATGTGTTTTGTGTCTGTATCGTTGGTTTTTCTCTTCATGTATTGTCTTCCGCTCACAGGAGAGCCTGGGTTGTTGGTGGGGAGAATTAATCAGGAGGATCCTCTGCGTCGGTTTGATGGATACGCTAGTCAGGATGCCACCAGGAAGAAGATCGCCTACAATGTGTTTAGGAAAAATGACTCTGCTTATCTGTCAGGTGCACCTTTAATACACTGCAAAAAATCGAATATTTTCTGACAGCGTGGATGTAAATATTATGGATGGTTTTAGACTGCAGGACAAAATTCATGATTCGGCAACCTTGTTTTGTTGGTATGGTGTCTCTCAGGTGATGTTTTAGTTATGGATGAGCTTGGATACATGTACTTCCGAGACCGGAGTGGGGACACGTTTCGTTGGAAAGGTGAGAACATCTCCACTACTGAAGTGGAAGGAACACTGAGCAGCCTGTTGGGACAGATTGATGTAGCAGTGTTTGGAGTAAATGTACCAGGTGAGACAAACAAAGCAGCTTTTGTTCATAATTCCAAACTGTATTACTCTGGTGTCCCCATATAGACATATAAACGCATCTGTATAGGTGCGGAGGGAAAAGCCGGAATGGCAGCCATCGCTGACTCAACAGGAAGATTTAACTGTAATTCTTTCCTGAGAGAAGTTCAGCAAGCACTTCCTCCATACGCACGGCCAGTATTTCTACGCATCTCCCCATGTGTAGATACCACAGGTGAGGAAAATCATACCGTGTGGATTGAGCGATATATTTTGCCATATATGCACTGCAGTTTTTCTAGAGATGTAAAGCGAAGCAACTTTGTGAATATCACAATGATTAACTCTTTCCCCGGCGTTGACGGATTTTTTTGTAAAATAAAGTGACTGAAACTTGTTTCTGCTCTGGAATAAAAAATAAATAAGCTCACTGAAATAAATAATAATCTCACAATGTGGGTCTCTTTTCCTCACATTTGTGAGTTATTACCTTATAATTTAGGACTTTTTTCCTCTCATTTGCGAGTTATCTCATAATTTGGGCACTTTTTTCCCCACATTTGTGAGTTATTACCTTATAATTTAGGACTCTTTTCCTCACATTTGTTAGTTATTACCTTATAATTTAGGACTCTTTTCCTCTCATTTGTGAGTTATCTCATAATTTGGGCACTTTTTTCCCCACATTTGTGAGTTATTACCTTATAATTTAGGACTCTTTTCCTCAAATTTGTGAGTTATTACCTTATAATTTAGGACTCTTTTCCTCTCATTTGTGAGTTATCTCATAATTTGGGCACTTTTTTCCCCACATTTGTGAGTTATTACCTTTTAATTTGGGACTCTTTTCCTCACATTTGTTAGTTATTACCTTATAATTTAGGACTCTTTTCCTCTCATTTGTGAGTTATCTCATAATTTGGGACTTTTCCTCACATTTGTTAGTTATTACCTTTTAATTTAGGACTCTTTTCCTCTCATTTGTGAGTTATCTCATAATTTGGGACTCTTTTCCTCACATTTGTTTGTTATTACCTTATTTAGGACTCTTTTCCTCTCATTTGTGAGTTATCTCATAATTTGGGCACTTTTTTCCTCAAATTTGTGAGTTATTGCCTTATAATTTAAGACTCTTTTCCACACATTTGTTAGTTATCACCTTATAATTTATGACTCTTTTCCTCTCATTTGTGAGTTCTCATAATTTGGGCACTTTTTTCCTCACATTTGTGAGTTATTACCTTATAATTTAGGACTCTTTTCCTCTCATTTGTGAGTTATCTCATAATTTGGGCACTTTTTTCCTCAAATTTGTGAGTTATTGCCTTATAATTTAAGACTCTTTTCCTCAAATTTGTTAGTTATTGCCTTATAATTTAGGACTCTTTTCCTCACTTTTGTTAGTTATTACCTTATAATTTAGGACTCTTTTCCTCTCATTTGTGAGTTATCTCATAATTTGGGCACTTTTTTCCTCAAATTTGTGAGTTATTACCTTATAATTTAGGACTCTTTTTCTCACATTTGTGAGTTATCTCATAATTTGGGCACTTTTTTCCTCACATTTGTGAGTTGTTACCTTATAATGTAGGACTCCTCTTTTTTTCACATTAGTGAGTTATCTCATGATTTGGGACTCTTTTTCTCACATTTTTGAGGTAAGACGTAAAATGTTGATTAATCTGATTGATAAAAACCCATTGTTTTTCTCAAATATTTCAAAAATGGTGTGTTTGCTGTGAATTGATTTCCTACTCTTACCCTTTCACAGGAACATTTAAAATTCAGAAGACCAGATTGCAGAGAGAAGGATACGATCCACGGCTCACAACTGACCAGATCTACTTTCTGAACTCCAGAGCAGGCCGTTACGAGCTTGTGAACGAGGAGCTGTACAGTGCTTTTGAAGAAGGCAGGATATCCCTTTGAGACGAAGAAGAGAAGGTAGCCTGAACCTACCTGGTCATCTTGTGACCAACAACATGTGACAAACAGAATACTGCGACAGAAACCACTCAGATTAGTTCTGCTAGCATGTAGACACTTTTTGCATTTACATTCTTCCAATTTAAAGTATTGCATTTGAAAAGGTTTCTACGATTTGGTAGCCTACTAGAAAGCACAAGCTGTATCTTGGCAATGACAAACTAATTATCTAATATGCAATAGATGGGACAGTAAGAGTGAAGTATTATTTTAATGTGTTATTCTTAGTTGATGGTGTGCACAGGTGACGAATACATGTGCACTCCCAATTTAACAACCAAAACAACAACACAAAGCCAACGGGATGAAAGATGAAACTCCACTATGATGCCTGCCTGGCTTTGACATTAGGCTTATACCACTACAAACCAGCAAGTTAAATGCATTTTGAGCCTGAATGATGATGATTACTGTATATTAACGAAATTGAGATTTTTATTACTTAAACATTGATGAAATTGCCTAACTCCAAAGTGACTTTTAGAGAGCTGAAAAATACATTGTCTTTGTAAACAGCCAAAATGAAGTGCCTTAGATTTTACCTCTTCAAGCTTTAATCATGTGTGATGTGACAAGATGAATGGCCTGAAACTGATACATGAACAAAGACATTGTGGAAAAACTAAAACAGTGTAATTGCATGAATCTACTGCAATCTAAATGAATAAATAAACATTTTTACAGCATTTTACTTCTCTTTTCTGATTTTAATGTCCTGACATCAATCTTAAATCTTTGTTGTATGGGTTATATGTAAGTAATATTTATTAAAAGACCTGTTTCAATGTCATATTTTCTTTGTGGCCAAAGTACTCACAATAACAATAGATATCTATAGAAGTTTTGTTAATTTATCACACTCAAAATATGAGACTAGGGAGGCGGAGACTAACTGTCCAAACAAAGCGCACAAATCTAATTTAATGCCATTTCCTGCAGACTGGGGTTTCTAGCACCCCTCTTTTTACCAAATCCAAAAAAACTCCCACAGTGGCGAGTGAACCTTTTTCCTGGGTGAGGGTAGACCGTGGCCCTGTTTACACCTGGTTTTAAGATCCATTGGTTGAATGGAACACAAGTAGACGAGGGAGACATATACTCGTTTACACCTGTTGTTTTAATCTGTCTCATTTGTCCACGATTTCTCCAAGGAGAGGGTCAATGAGGAGGGTTATTGTATGGGCTTTTTTAGATCTTTCGATCTAATGGGCAAAATAAGCTCATGCAATTTACATATGACCTGTTAATGTGTGTTAGAAATCAGGAATAATGAGAACATCGTGCTTGGTACGTTTTTCATCTTCAAACCAAACTTGGGTCTTCAGCCCACAAAGTTTAAATACCGTCTGGCTAGAGCGCTTCCCATAATGTTTACATTTTCGGTCAGTATGAGGAGAGTAGCAGTGTTGTGCACTCAAGACTCGGACTCGGTCTCGAGACCATATTTTAATGGACTCGGTCTTGTCATGGACTGCATTTTGACTTGGAACTGACTTTTTACCATTACAGTTTACATGGTATATATACAGTTTTCCATGGTATATTTGGTTTACTGTTTGAGTATGGTGTCAATTTTATTGTTACCAGCAAATATTTTAAATATTCTTGAAGATATCTTTAAGTCTGGTTTGAGACCCAACCTTAGGTTATCAACCTCTCTGGACTCGGTCTCGACTTGGACTCGACTGTCTTTGGTCTCGTTCTCGACTCGGACTCGACCCTCTATGGTCTCGACTCGGACTCGACCGACTTTGGTCTCGGTCTCAACTCGGAATCGACCCTCTATGGTGGTCTCGACTCGTACTCGACCCTCTATGGTCTCGGTCTCGACTTGGACTCGACCCTCTATGGTCTCGACTCGGACTTGACCCTCTATGGTCTCGGTCTCGACCCTCTATGGCAGGGCTATTCAATTGGCGGCCCGCGGGCCAAGTGCGGCCCGCCAATCATCTCCATGCGGCCCGAAAGCACTCCAACCTCCCCCTCCTATTTTCTGGTGGTGTGGCTAAATTTGGTTTGATTTGCGCGTGGCCGCAGTGGCGCGTGCAGCTGGATGACTATACGCACTGTGTGTGTACCATGAGCGCTCCGACTGACCTGAGAGAAACGTTTTCAGTCCGAATATTTCAGCAGTGCGTCCCGTATTTCTGTCGACTGAACCAGCGATATTAATCATTCGTTGGATCGATTCCTATTTCCTTTTCATAAATTGGCCAAACGTGCGTGCATAACGGTCGGAAACGATTCGGATTCGTTCGGACCTTTCTGTCACTGAATCATCTTAAGCGGTTTCTCGGTCAGTAAGAACAAATAGAGAACAAAATAGTGCTGGTTTCAGTTGTTTCACTAGTTTACTTTGAACTAGGCAGCACGGTCCAGTGGATAACGGAACGCAAGCTTAAAGGAGTTGCGTTTACTCCCGGTCCCGGATACTATTATTAAACAGCGTTTCGACATCCATTGAGAAGCGTTTCAATCGACACTCCTCTCTGTTACAAACCACAAATCCCTCAATGATTTTATCTAGTTTTAAATCGGATGAAACAGCCTTAACATTCGCGACACTATTGATGAGGTAAATAGCAGAAACATGAACAAAGTTAGAAGCTAGTATAAATGCCATAATCACCACCCTTACAAACATTTACTATGAATGTAATAATTTACCATGGTTTGGGCAGAAATGTGGAATATTTATATTGAATACTATGTAATAGTCATTTATTTTGCATTAGATTTATTAGGGGGTAGAGGAATATATAATTCATTGTGTGTATAATTGTTTACCTATTTAGGCATTTTATACAGTAGTGAGCCACAAGTCTCACTGTCAGGATATTTTAATTTAAGCCTTTAATAATTATTAATAAAATAATTCTTACCAATAGCCAATAGCTATGATATTGTATAATTCAATATATTTGTATATAGCTGTAAAAAAGTTATTTATTATGGTCTGCATACTGTTGAGTACCACATTTCCTATTAAATGCAAAACCATTTTTTTTTTGTTTACTTTAGCTTACTTAATGATACTGTTATGTTTCAATAAATAAGCCAAACCCACCGGCCCAGCTCAACTTTTCGATTTAATAATGCGGCCCTCGAATGAAGCTAATTGAATAGCCCTGCTCTATGGTCTCGGTCTCGACTCGGACTTGACTATCTTTGGTCTCGGACTCGACCCTCTATGGTCTCGGTCCCGACTCAGACTCGACCCTCTATGGTCTCAGTCTCAACTCGGACTCG